GACTCCCGGCTTTGCAACTCCGTAGAGGCTGCTTAGGATCTTGACAATTCATTTAGGATAACGCATAAAGTCGCTGCGTTTCTATTCCCCCACAAACGCCTTTTCCTACCCACCGTCCAGCTTTTGAATAAGGCCGCAGCTCTTTTGGAAAGAAACCCAGAGAGAGAGAGAGAAAAGGGGGGGGACGCTTCGTGCGCCCCCCCCCCCCCCCCCCCACCCACCCCCCCCCCCCACCCCTGGCCCCGCTCTCGCCTCCTTGATCGCGGTATTTGTTGCGCCATTGTCTTTGTGCAGTGAACTCTAGTTGAGTTGTTAAGTCAAGCCGCGGCCGCTTATATGGATTCTCTTGGCTACCAGCGCAGGAAGATTAATTCAATCATTGTCGGGCAATGATTGTTTTACCAAGAAAGCAGCGCTTGATGCCCGGGTTTCGCTGTCAAGAAATTAAAAACTCTTGAACTGGCTCCCCAAAGCTGATATGAGTTTATTATTTGTGTGTGTGTGTGTTCAGTCCGAGTGGAAATTATTAATTATTAAGTATTACTAAGGAGGAGGAGGAGGATTCTCAGAACTCTGCGGTGGGACTAATTGGTCTCAAATTCAACCTCCCCCACCCCACCCGCTTTCTGGGGAACAGTTCTCCAGATCGGTTTCCAAAGACAGCCTTTTATGATGACCCGCTGACCTGCGGGGGCGGGGGGGGGGAGAGAGAGAGGGCGTGAAAGTGGCGCAGCTCGGCAAAGCGGGGAGAAGCAGCTGGGGTGGGAAGTAACGTTTCACCCCCCCCAAGTCCCCTTGGGCTATAATTATTAGAAATTAATTGGGTTCAGGACCCTAGGTAGGACTGGGTAAATTAATAGCGCGTCTGGTTGCTTACAGTTGAATGTTTAGACCACAGGAGAGAGAGAGAGACAGACAGACAGACAACACTTAGCCCCCCCCCATCCCTGACCCATACTTCTTCCCAGAACAGAGGTGAGATTTTATTTTAAAAAAGGCAAACTTTTTTTAAAAAAATCCTTTATCTTCTCCCAAGAAGGCCAGCCTTTTTTTTTTCTCTTTACAAGATACGCTTCCATTGGTGAGCTATCTTAGTGGGGTACCCCCCCCATTCATTAATGGGGTGCCTCCATTAATCTTGGCGGGGTCTCTCTCTCTCTTTCTGTCCTGGGCCGCTGCTGACTTTGAGTTTCTTCGGATTTATTCGCCCCACGCTATGTTTTTTTTTTTCCTACCCAGCCCTGCCCTGCCCTGCCCTACCTTTCCTCTCTTTCGACTCCCCTCCTCTTCTTCCTCCTCCTCCTCCGGGGGCTACTTAGGGGTTAAAATCAAAGCGAAGTCTTCCACCACCACCCCCTCCCCACCTTCCCATCGCCGGTACAGTTGGAACCGTCGCGCTCAGAGTCAAAGTGGGAAAGGAAGCCTCGGGCAAAAGGAAATTACTGCGAGCTTTCGTGACCTTTCCGAGAGGTAATCAATCAAGTGATCAACAGGGATATTTATCATTTCTCGATGGGGGCTACTTTAGAAATGCACGAGGAAGGGGGCGGGAGAAAGCCAGAGGAGGGGAAGGGGAGGAGATACAGGCGCGCCACCCGTAACTTTGACCACTAAGCCTAGAAATTGTAGCCTTTCCCCAACGAGGCCCCCTTCTGGGAGAGGGAGGGGACTACCCACTCGCGACGCCTGGACACCCGTGGGAGCTACTACAGCCCAACCCGTCCGGAGGGCGTCGCGTTGGCAAGGAGAAAAAAAGGTACTTGGGTCCCAGCCGCACTTACTCACCAAGCCCCGAGTTCCTACAAAGAGTCTAACCTTAAGACATTAACTACATCAGGGGTCTCCAACCTTGGCAATTTTAACCGTGGTGGTGGACTTCAACTCCCATCCAGCAAAGGTGGCTGGGGAATTCTGGGAGTTGAAGTCCACCAGGTTTAAAGTTGCCAAGGTTGGAGACCCCTGAACCAGGGGTGAAATCCAGCAGGTTCTGACAGGTTCTGGGGAACCGGTAGCAGAACTTTTGAGTAGTTCAGAGAACCGGCAAATACCACCTCTGGCTAGCCCCAGAGTGGGGTGGGAATGGGGATTTTGCAGTATCCTTCCCCTGCCACGCCCACTAAACCACGCCACGCCCACCACGCCACGCCCACAGAACTGGTAGTAAAAAAAATTGGACTTCATCACTGCCCTGAACTACATTATATAAGGAGCAGCTTCTGTAAGGTTTGGAGCCCAGTCTATAGGAAATCCTGCGTTTGTCTCCCTCCCGCTTCCCAAACTTGGCCACGTGAAACGGTCCCCGCGGCTGTTTTTCAGGCTCCAATCTTTGAAAAACCCCAGGGACTTGGAAAGGTATAACGCTAACCGATCCTTGCAAAAGTGCAAAAATAAACGCGCGGAGAGGGTCGATTTTAAAAAAAAAAATCTGTGGCTTTTTCTTCCATCCAAGCTTAACGGAGGCAGCCTGAGCGCGCTTGCGCAAGAAAGCCCCTCCGCTAGAGAGTGGCGGGGGGGGGGGGGGGAGCTCTTATTCCCGCAAGCATCAGTCGACCCGGGATTGCGCTGCCCGCCCTCCCTTTTCCCCCTTTGGGGTGCTCCGGCGGTCTCCGCTCTGGCCCCGAAAGGGGGTTTCATTCTCGCCCAGCGGGCTTGGAGCGGGGCGGAGCCTCGTTGGGTTGGAGGAGGGGCGAGGAACGGGATGCGGGGGTCCTGGGTGCTAAAATCCTGCAGTTGTTGTCGTCTTTCTTCTCCACTTTTCCAAGGAAAAGCCCCCTTCTAAAAAAAAAAAAAAAAAAAAAAGGATGTGGTGGCTCAGTAGGTAAGGCGCTGAGCTTGTCCATCCAAAGGTCAGCAGTTCAACGGTTCGAATCCCTAGTGCCCCCTAAAGGGGGTGAGCTGCCTTTACTTATCCCAGCTTCTGCCAACCTAGCAGTTCGAAAGCACGTAAAAAAAATGCAAGTAGAAAAATAGGGACCACCTTTGGTGGGAAGGGAATAGCGTTCCGTGCACCTTTGGTGTTTAGTCATGTTGGCCACATGACCACCACATGACAACGGAGACTCTTCGGACAGCGCTGGCGCTTCGGCTTTGAAACGGAGATGAGCACCGCCCCCTACAGTCGGGAACAACTAGCACATAAGTGCGAGGGGAACCTTTACCTTTATATCTAAACCAGTGGTTCTCAACCTTCCTAATGCCGCGACCCTTTAATACAGTTCCTCATGTTATGGTGACCCCCAACCATTAAATTATTCCTAAAATCATTGAAAATATGTGTTTTCTGATGGTCTTAGGCGACCCCTGCGAAAGGGTCGTCGGACCCCCAAAGGGGTCACGACCCACAGGTTGAGAACCACTGAAACAAAAGGGGGAAAAAAGAACTCTCCAACCAATCAGTCAGTGCTCCCCCCTCCGCATAGGGTGAAGGAAATGAGAGCTTCAATTGCAACCCCCTCCATCCTCCCCTCTTTGGCAAGGAGCCCCCCCCCCCCCAAACCCCCACAGGGCAGGCAGGAAAAGCAGCACGCGGGAGAAGGGCGCACCATTCACAAAAAAAGGGTCTTTTTCTTCCCAGCAGCCGAGCTGATGAGTTGGATTACAATGCCCATCGCACACAATGTGGCTTCCCATCAGACAGCGCTTCCTTATTCCGGGCGCTCTTGGGGAAGGGGAGGGGAGTTTTAGAGTTTCTCTTGAATTATTTTCCAGGATGCCATATTTTTGAGCTCAGCTTATCCTTAAGGCAGGTGGTGTTGTTTTTTTTCAAACTGGGCAACTTTAAATCCTGTGGACTTCAGCTCCCAGAACTCCCCAACCAGTCATGCTGACGGGGGAATTCTGGGAGTTGAAGTCCACAGGGTTTAAAGTTGCTAAGTTAAAAAAAAAAAAACACTGCCTTAGTGCTTTAAACAAATTGGCTCTAAAGTCTATTTCTAGGAGGGGGATTTCTAACCTACCACCTGCTGAAGTGACATAATATCCAACATCTTTGGGGTGCATCCTCTTATCCCCTTTATTGCAGTACAAGCATGCTTTAGTTCAGGGGTCTCCAACCTTGGCAACTTCAAGCCTTGTGGACTTCAACTCCCAGAAGCTTTGCTGGCTGAGGAATTCTGGGAGTTGGTCCACAAGACTTAAAGTTGCCAAGGTTGGAGACCCCTGCTCTAGTTTGTATGTGTGTGTGAGAGAGAGGGAGGGAGGGAGGGAGGGGAGAGAGACAGACAGACAGACAGACAGACAGACAGACAGACAGACAGACAGGAGCCCTCATCCCATCTTCACCTACAGCTGAAGCTATTTAACTGTCTCAGTTTTATAGTTTGAGCTGTGGATACAACCTGCTGTGCTTCTACTTAGTGTAATGCTTCCCATAACGGTGGCCCCATCTTCGTGAGGCTCCATATAAACCCAGGTTTAGCTCTCTTTTGAAATTGCGCTAGCAGGGCCGGATTTTCCTATAGGCTAACTAGGCTTCAGCCTAGAGCCTCAAGATCAAGAGGGGCCTACATTCAAATTGTTAGCAAAATGAAAATTACACTTTCACTATAGGTGAAAGGGCCTCATAAGTGGAATAGCCTAGGGCCTCTTTTCATCTAAATCCGGCCCTGTGCGCTAGACCTGTGTTTATCAAATGTGATTAGCACTTTTTAAACCTAGAAATAGAGCCTGGTTTTGGCAACCGTATGTGGCTCTGTCACCTTGGGGAACATTATCAGTGTTTCTTCTATTTCCAAAGCTTTTAACATGGCTTCTAGAATTTGGGGGAAGGGGAGAATGACTCCGTGGCCCTTATGGATACTGCTGAGCACCAAGACAGAGCTGGACTACTGGCCAGCACTCACGTTATCCTACAGCAGGGATGGGGAACTATTATGGCCTTTTTTGACCTGTGGATCTTCAACTCCCAGAATCCCTGAGCCAGAATTCTGGGAGTTGAAGTCCATAGGTCATAAAGGGGCCGTAGTAGTTCTCCACCTCTGTTTTACAGCATTGGGAACACACGAGCAGATTCATGATCGATGGCTTCCTCCCTGCCCCGTCTCTCCAAGCCTGTGAGCCCCCTTGAAAGATGCCAACAAAAACTCTTAACCTCCCCTTGCCCATCTGCTATCTACAGTAGATGGTAATTTTCCTGCTGACAGGTGATGGGGGGGAAAGCAGGAGAAGCCACAATGCTATCAACTTCCACCAATCGGCTTTCCTTGACTGGCACTCTCAGTAAGGACCAATTGTCAGCCTCTTGGCCTCTAAATCAGATCAGCAAAGGTGATGATGCAACCCAGCGCCCTTTCTTATGGCTCAAGGAGGATCCTTTTCCATACAACTGTCCAGCTGTGCTTCTGGCCTCCCAAACCATTTCCAACTTCCTCTTCTTTCCCCTCACCCCCCAGCTAATTTAGTGCATCCCTCCAGCCCTTGAACCAACCAAAACGGTGTGAGATTTGCAATTCTGAACGCTACCCCCACCCCGCCTCATCTCCTTGGGCAGCCATTGGGGGGGGGGGAATGGGTGGGCAAAGCCTAGCAGGGTTGACCCACTCAGAGGCTGCCTTCTGATGGGATCAGAATAAAGAGGTGAAATACTACTTACACACACACACACACACAGAGAGAGAGAGAGAGAGAGAGAGAATTGAAACCTCTTTCTTTGCACCAAAGACAAATTCCTTGTGTGTCCAATCACACTTGGTCAATAAAGAATTCTATTCTATTCTATTCTATTCTATTCTATTCTATTCTATTCTATTCTATTCTATTCTATTCTATTCTATTCTATGGATGAGATGAGATGAAAACAGTATCAGGGAGACCCAGCGAGAAAACGATGCCAGATGCCATGTTTGTAGCATATATATTGCAACTTCCCCTACACACACACACGCATACACACAACACAGAGAAGGGGATGGGGAGAGAGAGGAGGGAGGGAGGGAGAATGTTCTGCAGTGATCTAAAGCAGGACTCTTCAACCTTGGCAACTTTAAGACTTGTGGACTTCAACTTCTGGGAGTTGAAGTCCACAAGCGTTAAAAGTTGCCAAGGTTGGAGAGCCCTGATCTAAAGTCCGCCTTCATTACTGACATCTCGTTACAGAAACGGTTGGATCACGGCGTTGTAAGAAGCTACTGCCTAAATCACTGGTAAGAAAACAGCCATTGCTAACCCACCCACCTCTTCGTTAAGATTCAGAAAAAAGCGAGAGAGGAGAGGACGAAAGCCGGATAGCTGCAGCTGCGTGGATGAGGCGCAAGTGGAAACCCTCCGTCTTGCGCTTGCGTGTATTTTTTTTTTTTTTTAATACCGGTAAAGGGAATTTCCTGAAAAATAAAGCAGCGTTGCTTCCCCATCCTTTATCTCAGAGGGTTTATAGTAAGCAAAAGATTCCCCCACCCCAAAAAAATTATTCTGGAAAAATTGCGCGGGGCTCATTGGAGCCTCTGCCCTCCGTTCAGAGAACCCTTCAGGTTTTCCTTGCCAAGCGAGGTGTGCTTTTCAAACTCAGAACAAGCTTAGATTTGCCTCCTCAAACCCTGGCGTGGCCGAAAGCCAAGGTTAGCGCGAGCCAAAACAAGAGGAGAATCCTCTTGGTGGAATCCAGAAACCAGTCTGGATCTGGTGCCCACCGCGCGGGCATAAAAGGTGTTGGGGAGAACTGATCCTAATGCCCACAGATGAGAAGAAACTGGCAACACGCTGGCCTGTCAAAAGCGGGGCGAGCAACGCGGGCAATGAAAACTCTCTTTCGCCATCTAATGGCCGAGCGGATTTTGGCAGCCCAGAGACCATCGCCTTAACTAAAGCAGACATCAGAAAAAGAAAAGGAAAGGAAAAAAAACATTTGCAAACTGTTTTATTCATCGTGATCGGCTTTGCATTTCCAGGGAGTTAGAGAAAGATCCTCCTTTTTTTTTTTTTTTAATTTATATGCCGCCCTTCTCCGGAGACTCAGGGCGGCTTACAATGCGTTAAGCAATAGCCTTCATTCTTTTGTATATTTTATACAAAGTCAGCTTATTGCCCCCCACAAACTGGGTCCTCATTTCACCTACCTTAGAAAGGATGGAAGGCTGAGTCAACCTTGAGCCTTGGAGAGATTCGAACCAGCAGAAATTGCAGGCAGCTGTGTTAATAACAGGGTGCATTAAACCACTGTACTATCAAGGCTCCCTTAGACTGTGGGAATGAAACTGCTTTGTGAAAACCTTGGAGCCTTGGTAGTACAGTGGTCTAAAGCACCCTACTATTAAGACCAGCTGCCTGCAATTACTGCAGGTTCGAATCTTGCCAGGCTCAAGGTTGACTCAGCCTTCCATCCTTTCTAAGGTAGGTAAATTGAGGACCCAGTTTGTGGGGGCAATAAGCTGACTTTGTATAAAATATACAAAAGAATGAAGGCTGTTGCTTAACGCATTGTAAGCCACCCTGAGTCTCCGGAGAAGGGCGGCATATAAATCAAATTAAAAAAAAAAAACCTGCAGCGGAACACACAAACACACCCACCCCCCCACACACACACGGAGTTTCCCTTTTTCCCAGCACCCAGAAGGGTCTAGGCTTCCCAAGCTGGCTCAGAAATGCCAACTGATTGTCCTGCGCTGCCTCCTAGCGGCCACAACCGGGAACGTCGGAGCGAAGAGATGCGCCACTTCTGGAGGGCGCAGCCTTTAAAAAAGGATGCTTTCCTTCTCCTGCTCCAGCGGTTTTGCCTACCATGTAATTTATAAGGCAGGGCCTGAATGGGTCAGGAGCCGTCAAAGCACACAGGGTCTCCTAGATGGAAGAAGTCATCTTGGGGCCAGTCCCCTCTGAACTCAAGTCCTCTCTTCACTTCTGTAGTGCGGAACTCCACATTAAATCATGTTGATAGATGGGTGTCCAGCCTCTGTTCCATAATCACATTCTTCCTGTTAGGAAGTATTTTTTAAAAACATTTAACTCAGAACACCTCCTCTAAATTCAGTGTGTTATTTTAAGGCTGCACTGTCAGCCAATCCAAATTCCAGAAAAAAAGTTGAATGTTCATCATCTTCATCCTTGGTCCTGCATAAATATTGTGCATCATCTGATGCTTTCATATTCTTTCTAACCTCCATTTAGGGCATGGGGAACAACTGCTTCTGACAGCCACGCTCCCAAAGTAGTTGGTGGAACCAGGACAGAGATTAATGGGATTTCATGCATACCCGCATTTCGTTTAATATGATGATTAGGTCTAGGGACTTAATACAGGGGTGTCAAGGCTCGTGGGCCACATCTGGCCCACAGGTGCTTAGATCTGGCCTGTGGTCCGCCTTGGAAACAGCAAAGGACCAGCCTACAGTGCCTCTGCCAGCGAAAATGGAGCTCAGGAGGGCCACACACAAATCTCCTGGGCTCCATTTCCGACCATGCAGGCCTCCCGGGCTCCGTTTTCACTGTAAGAGAGCTACAGGAGGCCATCATAGCCAGAAATGGAGCCTCAATGAATGAGCTGGTCACACCCACCCATCCCAGGTCAAACACAACCCTGATGTGGCCCTCAATGAAATCGAGTTTGACACCCCTGCTTTAATACCATAGAAGCAACTCCAATGGCTTCTCAAGTTGTTTTTGATGTTTTTGATGTTACTCCACCTCCATCCTTTTGGAGTCAAAGTCAAATGGCTTTGCAAAGTCAAACGGCTTTGCAAAGGAGCTTGGGAAGAGTTTTTGACTGAAGAGTGTAGCACAACTCCCCACAGCTAAGTCACCCCAGGATAACTTGCCGCAGGACAGTTCAATGCTGTGTTAATCAATTCATTCAGTGGGTGACCAAGATTTTGTCAAAATTATTGTAACTTCTTGTATTTCTGGATTAACTTTATTTTATTATCATTGGCCAATGGTTCTGTTGAAATTAATTTAACTTTTGTATTTGTTGAATTGTCCTGCAGCAAGTTGGTTGCAGCATGTTGGCAGCACTCCAGTGGTCATGCGCTAAAGAGTTCTCTGCTCCTGCCATTTCCAAAGTTACACTTGGCAAAAACTTTCAGGAAATCCTGGGGCTGCACTCAGACTCACTAGGGACCAGTTCTGTTTCACAGTTTATTTACTAAAGTGGAAGAAAGTCACTTAATTCAGAGAAATCTTTATTATATATCTCCAGCATCTACATATCAGATGTAAACTGCCTCTGAAAAATGAAGGCTCAACAAAAGGAATCCCAACTGTGGACCATGGACCAGTACTGGTCTGTGGCCTTCTAGGAACTGGGCCATACAAGTGGTCGGCGAACGAGCAAAGTTTCATCTGCACATATGTGGGATCTAGGCTGCACATGAAACCATCCACTCTGATCCGTGGAAGAGAATTTTTCTTCCGAAACCAGTCCCTGGTGCCAGAAAACTGAGGACCACTGCTCTACATAGTTGATCATAGAATTGCCAAATCAAAAAAGACATTTATTCCTGTTCTTATAATTTGCCCCACAGAATTCCTATATGATAGATACCCGGCCTACAAAATATTCACCCTTTTGGGGTTAAACAATGGATCTTAGGCCTGCCATCTTTTACTAAGCTATATGCTTTTCCCATTAGAATTCCAAAGGATGCTTTAAAACAGGGTTTACAGGATTATCAGCTATCTTGCATGGTGTGGAAATGCACTGCATTGTTATGGCTTCAAACAACGTCACCCTTGCCTGCATGCCCAAAATTACCCACAATCAATATTTCTCTATCACAATTTCAGTGTGGATCACACCCAGGGAATGGCTGGGTCTGAGAGTTGGAGAAAGAATGAATCGTAGGTCTCTCTCTCAGGTTCCAATTCAAATGATTTCAAATGAATTATCCTTTTGAACCAAATTGCCAAACGGACTAGATGCCAAACTGGCAGGATGCCATCTCATCAGTTCTGTAGTAAGAGTTTCTTGTTTGGGTATCAAATCAAATAAATATTCTAATCCAATCAATTCAGTTCATATCAATGGTTCTGATCAAATCAACTCCAATTTTTTTGGAATCAGGCTAACCATTCGGTCCAAGTCAATAATTCAAACTGTATCTTGGATGATTTGCATCTTGGTAATAGACTACACTACCAGATCAGGAGGAATAAATCTTTGGGGGTCAAAAGTTATGCTTGGTCACCCATGACATGATGGGGACCAAGCTGCAGAAAGTAGGGTGGGCCCCTGACAAAAATTAGCCCTCATTACCCAGATCCATTTAAATTCAATTAAAGCAAAAGGAAATTAGTGAAAAGTCAGTGGGATTCATTGTGATTTAATTCAATCATGTGTCATGTATTAAATCAATTCTTGTTGCTTTCACGTGAAAAAAAGATAGACTTTGGTTGGAATTTAGGAAGGGTTTTGAAGGTCACAGCCAAGGTTTTGGAGTCAGCCCCTATTTTGTTTAATGTGCAATGTCTAATTGATAGTACTACATAAATGATACGGTATTCATAAACATTTACCAGTATATAGTTTAATTCTTACCACCCAACTGTGCAAGGGATGAATCAAGAGTCTTCATCAACCACTATTCTTTGGTTTTTCAGTAATGGTTGAAATCACTCAGCACTTCCTAAGAAAACGTCAGCACCTAACAGCTCAGGAAGATGCAATTTAGCCAGGAATGGTGGTGGGAACATGCTGTTTTATTTTCCCTTCCTTTTTTTTTTCACAAAAATAGACTCGACCCCATTTTGGGAGAGGTCAACTTCACATATGTGACCTTGGGTGACCTTTGGCGCTCTATGATGACAACATCTACAAGAAATAGCTTGAACTCCTGATCCCTTGACAGTCCACAAGACATCTATCGGGTGCAGAGAAACCTTGCAATTAATACAAATGCATGTCCTTCATGAGATGGATGACCACGGTGATTAAAGCAGTCTTTTCACTGGTGGCACCATTAGCCCCTGCAACCACAATGAGTGACCGATAGTCTTACATATTACAGATTGTCAACTCTATTTCTTGTGACGCTAACGCATTCTGGAAATTTATACCAAACAAGGGGAAATACTTAGGAACACGCCTCAGAAAGGATAGATTGGGTCTTCTCTCTTTTTTAAAAAATATTTAGTTCTTGAATTAGCCTTTGTTTTTCTCTACATTTTCACTTTTGCAAAATTTGGTACTCGAAATGTTTGAGTAGTTGGCTAGGTTGAGAAGTTAAAACAAAATATACAGAGTAAGCATAAGAAGGTGGCAATGTCAAACCACTTTCATAACCAGAAGCTATCAGGAAGACTACAAGGATGAATTTGTTGTGTTTTTTTTTTAAGGAGATTGATACTAATTTACTTTAAATGAAAAGAAATTCAATTTTCATTCACATTTTTTTAAGAAAATGCTCTGATTTCATTCTTCAT